TGTATATATATATATATATATATATATATATATATATAGGGTGTATACAATGAGAATGACATTTTTATACAAGAATAAGAACTATTACTCTCAACCATCAGATTAATATAAAAGGTTGTGATTAAAACACTCATTAAAATATATCGTGTCTCTCACTTATCAGATTAATCTTCCAAATTTGTTACTCATCACTCTTTGATAATCGTTGCCTCCATCACCACTGTCAGAACCACCACCACTGCTACCACCACCACCACCACTATTGTTGCATCACGACCATTGATAGTGGCAATTGTAATACTATATGTTTTGTTTCTTTGCATGATATATGTTGTTTGGTAATTTGTGATGTTTTAAGTTGGAATGTTGTGTTATGAACTATGAGGGATGAGTTAAGTTGTTTAGAGTTGAAGTCAAAGTTGATCAAGAATTGGAGAATAATATATAAGATCTTAGGAAAAACATGAACATGTTCTTTAAGAGTTTAGAGAGAAGTTAGAGAGAGACACTCTAGAGTCAGAGAAGTCTTTTCTTCGATTTGATTTTGCCAGGAGTTTATTTTCCTTCCCATGATTCCTAGTTTGCATAGTAGAAATCAAGATTCAAGCTAAGGAGCTTAGAATTGAAGAAAAAAGTCACTACTCAAAAGTTTGTGATTCTCCCTTTTCCTCTTGAGTTTCTTAGATTTTGAAGCAATCAAGATAAGAGAATCTTGTATTTTTTTACTCTTGTGTTGCTAGCGTCAACTTTTGTGTTCTCTTGCCCATTGGTTGTAATTAGAGTTGATTTTGTTGATGAAGTCTAGGTGTTGGGGTTTTTGGTGTTGAAGAAAATTAAGGGTGAGTTGATTTGAGTTTGATTGTTGTTGTTTCTTGTTATTCTAGTAGTTTTTTAGTTTATTGAGGTTCAAATAATGTGTTTTATGGAGTGCATGTGTCGAGGAAGGTGTTTGATGGCTAGAAAAGTAAAGTGAAGGTGAGTTCCATGGTGGAACTTCATGTTCTTGCTTAGCAAGAATAAAAAAACTCACCCAACATGCATGCATAGATGAAGAACTGCTACCTAGAAATCATTTTCTTACTTTGTGGTGAGAGTGTCACTCAACAAGAAAATGAATCTATGTGTGGCCCTAATGGAGGGCTCGCTCAGTGAGTCAGAGTTTGCCTAGCGAAAAGAACTATAAAGGTCTCAGCTTGCTAAACAAGTTGTGGCTGCTCAACAAGTGGACCATAACAAGTTTAGCTTACCCAATGAGAAAAGCCATAGGGAGATTTTCTTGGTAGGCGAGAATGGCTCACTCAACAACAAGCCCTAAAAGGGTTTAGGGCTTAATATCCTCAATATGGCTACCCTTGCCTCAACAAAAGTCCTATTTTGACTTTTGTGTTGTTTTTACCCTTTAAGTTTTGCGGTATTAATTTTTGTGTAGATTTTAATGCGATGTGTTGTGTGTTTCTAAATGATGAAAAACTTAAGGAGTAATTAAATTTGTGTTATTAAGTTGGTGATGATTCATGTGATGATTTAGTGAAATGTGTCGAATATGATGAAATTACTTGAGCTATAATTTGAAATATTGTAGAATGTTATAAATGCATTATATGGTTTTCTATATTGTGAGTTAGACTTAGAACCAGAGTAGAGTGAGTTATTTTTTGAGTTAAAAGATTCCATTATGAGAAACTGCAATAAAATATTTTCTTTTTGTGATGGTAAAATAAATGTTTTATCCCATTATGAGAATATGTGATTTGGTGCTCTAAGAGTTCAAAGATGAAAAGCCTTCAAAAAGAGAGTTGACCCTTGAAAGGGAGAGTTGTTTTGAAAATATGTCTCCTATAGGTTCTTAGTGGACACAATATGAGGCAAGGTCGAGCCATCTTGTATGGTGAAGTGGCCAATAAGAAAGACATAAGGTTGGTGACCAAAATCCCTAATTGAATGCTAGAAAGGTGTATAATATTAGGAGGGTAGCTAACAAGTTCATTTCATATAAGTTTAGTTTATGCATACTAATGTCGTGATAGGATGATACTCAAGTTGTTCTATTTTTAACAATAATACTGAACTTTCCTAGTTTAAATAGTGATAATTGGGAAAACATTATGAGTTTTATTTTGACCCAAAAAAGAAAGGTCTTATTGTGTTGTTGGTTTGATAAGGTCAAACCACTGAAAATACTCAATTGTGTTATTGGAGATCTCCTTAGTTGAAATGCGTGACAACATATAGAGATGTTGTGTTGATTATTATGTTTCTAAGTTGTTTGTTGTGGTGTTTAAATGTATTTCTATGTTTATTAAGTTGCATGCCTCTGTTGTTGAGTTGTTATAAAGTTTTTAAGTTGTATAACTTTGTTGATGTGTTGTATTTCTATGAAATTTATATGTTGAAAGTTGTATATTTTGTGTAGCTAATATAGATTGTTGATTTTTTTTATTATATATAATGAATTCTTGTTACACAAAGTTACCTTTGTTTTCCCATGTGTTGGATTGTGATGATCATGAAAGAGCAAGTCAAGATTAGATGGAGGGTGAGCCCACAAATGATGGTGTTTTGTGGTGAAACTATTCTGATATAGCCTATTTGTAGAGTGCTTGACTAGCGCTTAAGAATTTTTATTTTTCAATTTCTTTTGATATAGATATTTATCAATTGTATATGTATAGATAGGATAATTGTAACCTTTTAAGGGGAATTGTGTTTTTAGTCTATAGGCTAGTTTTGTTTTATGTTTTTCTACATTGACACACACAATCATATGAATATCAAAGAACTATTACATGATAACCTTAGGTTAGTTGCTATTATGTTTTTTGTTGTGAAGTTTTTGTTGTTGTTAAATTATAAGTGTAGTAACCTGTTAAGTCGTTACAGCGACAACAATGGTAGTGGTGACAACAATGGTGATGACAATTCCAATGATGGTAGTGAATACAACAATAATAAAAGCAATTGATGGTGGCAGTACATGTTAACTTTATTTATAATATTTTAATCTAAGTCGTCTATTTCAATTTAAAAGTTGAGATTATGCATTATCATTCTTATATAAAAATGTCATTCTCATAATAAACACTCCTTGTATATAATATATTTGCTTATATATGAGACTGGAGGGAATATTTTGGAAAACTTATAAATATAGGTTGAACCATCTCATGGATCAAGCATAAGATATTTTTATAAGTTTTCGTAAACATTCTTGAATCTCACAAGAAATTGTAGCATAAATTAAGTCTAAATAAGTACTTTATAAGCTCTTCCAAATAGGATCATAAAGCCTCATAAGGATCATCTTAAAACCATAGAAGATAACATTTTGTAGATTTCGTTGTCATATAATTGTATATAAATAGTGTGAAAATTGTTTCATCTTAAGATTGTTGAACATTCCTCTATTGTTGAACAAAGAAAGACAAATTATGAAGTGCTTTTATAAAAATCAAAGATATTTTTTCATTGTTCTTTTTGTTGTATCATATTGGTTCTAAGGCAATATATATATATATATATATATATGTTTATTTATATTTATAAAATTAAAATCGTGTTTCAAGTGAAACATAACGTTATATTTGGATAAAACACCATTCACATCAATCAACCGATTTGCAGTGCCCCATAGTTATGTAGCCTGATCTTATGAATGCGGACCTCATGCCTCTTGCTAACTAATTTTAACCTACTTCTCGTATGCAGGAGTTTATACTATTATATATACCATAAGATAGACCAAATTACCCTATTAAGATTTGGAACCTTTTAGAATGCCCGAAGAAAAAAAGAAAAAAAGACAACAACACAAATATTTGCATGGAAATATATATATATATATATATATATATATATATGCTTTAAGCCTAACATTTCTTTGCATAGTCTTTTAAATGTGTCTTTTGAACAAAATATTGTGAAATGTCAAATTGTTTTTAATGATAACAAAACACAATTCATTCTTTTTCCTCAAGCTTTTATATTTTTTTTGTCACATTTTGAGATTATGATATAATCACCCCAAGCTATGTGTTGAAAGAATAAGAAAATGCAAGTGGAATAATGTTGGCCTCTACTAACCTGTCGACCATTAGTACCATGTCCATGGATAAGGATTTTGCCAATTTTGATTCCCTTACAACATGCTCTCAATGCATTTTCCATGCTTTCTCCACTAATGTTAAAGTTGGAAGGGAAGAGTAATTAAAATAAAAATTGTTAATAAACAAGTTTAGGTAGTATGTTTTAAACACCAAAAAATTAAGGGAGAAAATTGTAAAGCATACAACACAACTAATGAATAATATTTGCCAAGGTATAATTCAAAGAAGAATAAGATGCACTTGTGGGAGAAAAAAATTATTTTTACTTTGGTGGATAACATTATCAAATTCTTGTGTCCAATTGGGCATTATACTTTGACCTTTGGCATTTCAAGGTAGAGTTCCAACATTATAAATCAAGTTCTAAACTAAAATTCAAGAAGTCTTTATTGATAATATATTTATGGAATCAAATCAAATTATTATATTACGCAAAATCTTTTATTCTGCAATGTGATAGAAATCCTAAAATTTTATACCTTCTAATGACGGAAACTCCACACAATCTACTACAGAAAACTACACCAGAGTATACAGATCCTGCAACCAAAGAACAAACCAACACTTAAACCATTTATTGAAAATATTAGAAAGTATATTATAGGTAGACATTCTAATGAAATTAAATAACTAATTTCAATATATTCTCTAATGACTTAAGTGGTGAAGGGTGTATTAATATATATTTATAAAAGAATCATAGTTCTATTAAAGTAATGTAAGTTTCAAAGTGATTATATAGGTAAACCACTACTACCATATGGTGTAATTAAGAGTACATTATGTATTTTGATGTAATGGTCAAGCTACTAGTGTAAAGTAGTTGACTAAAGATATTGATGCGAGATTAAAGAAAAAATATTATAATGTTAGTATAATTAAGAATACTTATAAATGTTGATGGAATGATCAAGTTACTAGTGTAAAATAATTGAATAAAGATATTGATTCATAATTAAGAAAAAATTATTATAATTTATTGTTGAATATGTATCACATCAACTATAACATTGTAATCTTTCAGTACGGGCCGTACTGAATGGAGAACGGCCCGTTCTCCTTTCAGTACGGGCCGTACTGCATGGAGTACGTCCTGTTCTTCTAGGAGAACGACCCGTATTCCTTGCAGTACGACCCGTACTCCTTGCAGTATGACTCGTACTGAAAGGAGAACGGACGTTCTGAGTTACGTACTTTAATTCGTGTTTTTACAATCTGGAAGGCCCGTTCCGGTTTTGGAACGACCCGTTCCAGATTTTTTTTTTCTTAACTAGCACTTTTAAGATCGGTTATAAAACAACCGATTTTAAAAGTTTACTTTTAAAATCGGTTATAAAACAAACGATTTTAAAAGTATACTTTTAAAATCGGTTAAATAACCGATTTTAAAAGTCTAACTTTTAAAATCGGCTCTTTTAAAATCGATTACAGAACCGATTTTAAAAGTAAAAAATAACCGATTTTAAAAACTTTTTTTTCACTAGTGAATAGATAAATGACCCACAAAACTATGATAATACATATTCAATTTGTACAAAAGTAAAAACTTTCTTTTACTCTTAAACAATGTAATCTCTCACAAATGCATGACAATATACCCACACATTTGTTATAATAAAGTTACCTGTTGGTGTTATTACTTGTTTTTCAGTGAAAGGAAGGTGGCCTAGTCCATGCTCAACAACCTTGAAATTCCACACAATGTCATCATTCTTCACATTCATGATCATTTTTAACAATATTTTTCTACTCACATAAACTTGTATACCAGTCTAATAAGACGATCTGAGTAAAAGACAAAGTCATGCTTTGTTGCCTTAGCATCACGAATGAGAGTATGCATTCCTTTTATCTGAGTACAAACACATAGTAATTTAGATTCATTACCATTATCAATCCTAAGTTTTATCTACATTACATTTATATAACAAGAAAACTTCAAACTATAAAAACTTTACCTGAAATGTGGAAAATATAACAAAAACATTAGGATATATTTTACATAAATCATGTTGGCCAAGCTTCATACGTATGTTTTGTACAATTAAGTCAATGGCAACATGATTGTCTCCTCCAGTCGGAATGATAATATCAGCATACTTTTTAGTTGGCAATACAAATTCTTCAAAACTAGGCTTTACGAATCTGCAATACTGTATAGTCACTTTTATAATTAGTCAAAAAAACATTCATAAACAATTTTATACGCTTAAAAAAATTACAAGAATCAATAAAATGAATTATCAATTAATGTAGGTTATAAATTCAATATTTTAGATTGGTGTTTTTATATTTTTAATTTAACTTTATTCACCCTTCACAATTATATGATCAAATTCCATAGAAAAAAATGATTGATAAAAAACACTACCTAAATCAAAGGTAGAGAAAAAAGTTTCAATCCCATCTTTTTATAGTTTTGTTTGCTCTCATATCATTATTTGCTTTAGTATGTTTGATCGATTACCAATAAATTGAAATGAAGAAGGTGGTCAATATAATAAGTATGTCACATTTTAAAAATGCATCTAAAGGATTGGTATCTAAAAATGATTGTAATTAAAGAAAAATAAGGAATAAGTTTACTAACTTGGTCTAGAACATCCGCAATATTCCTCCTACGTTCAATAGCAAGACGTTGCATCCTTCGTGCAAGGCGTACATCAGAATCTGCATTACTTAAAAATTACTAGTCTTAATTTTTAACTCTACATTTGTACTAATAATATTGAATATAATGTTTATTGATTTAATTCAATATTTTGTATGTGCACAATGGAGTCACTTGAATTAAAACCTAAGACATCGTGCAAGCTATCAAAACCTCTCATCACTACATTGACCCTATTGGGTTTTCATGATTTAATAATTTGGTGCTTGTTTGGAACTATGTCCAAAACGTACATATGCACTCTCTCTGCACATTCACATGCCAAAAAGACATTTGCGATGAGATTCGAAACACATTGTTAAAGGATATCATGAAATAGAAAATGGGAAAATAAATAAATTATATCGAAAAACATTAACAAACTCACATATTTTCAAGTTGTATAGAAATTTGAACCAGGATAATAAATATATGATTATGAAACATTGTTTTTTCTCTAAATTTATGATGCTACAATATTTCTACATTGGAGTAAGAGAGATATAAAATGGATTTTTAAACCCTCAACATGTTCTTTTGTATAAGCCAAAAAAACTATCATTATATTTATTGAAGCTTGACAAGAAAGTTTGTGATACTATTAATGTGTTTATGATCAATGATACATCTTTTTAAATGATACTATTGTTTTCTTTTTCATTTATTGTGTGTATGGATATGTGAGGAATCAGACATATAACCTTCATCAACAAAGATCTTCATGTTCAAAAGATTACGAACACCAGAATCATGAAGAACTAAAATCCCTTCTAATATTATGACATCTTCAGGGTGAACCTACAAGTGACCAAAAAAAAAATGTAATCAACCAATTGAATACTTCTAAAAGAGATGAATTTTTTATAAATTGTAATATATGTAATGACATATATATATATATATATATATATATATATATAT